CGGATTCTTTTCCGCTCCAGAATCCCTTTCTCTTTTCAAACCGCATTCCAGCCAGAGTTAAATCCTTTAACCTACTCCTCTCTGCTTACCTTCATAAGGTTTACGGCCGTATGAGGCTACGGCCACAGCCTATGGCTGTTTCATTCCTCTTTTAGCGACAAGAAAGTTTTATTCAAACTACTTTCTTTCCTTTATCAAGAAAATGGCAACGCACACACATACATGCACACACAAAGAAAAACACGCAGCTGCTGGGCGCGGTGGCTCACGCCTGTAATCCCAGCTCTCACGGAGGCAGAGGCGGGAGGATAGCATGAGCCCAGGAGTTCGAAACCTGCCTGGGCAATATAGCGAGACCCCGTTCTCCACAAAAAGGAAGAAGAAAAAAAAAGAAGAACACGAAGCTAGGTTTTTCAGGTTTTGCTCTAGATCGTGTTTGTGGCTGTGTTCTTCAAGATATTTTCCCTCACCTTGAGGTAATCTAGCATTACTTCATCAAGCATTACTAAAATAGCATTACTTCAGGATGGTGGAGGATTGGCAATCTAATAGCAAATCTTTATTGAACTCTTGTTACTGCCTTAACATGTGCTGCATGCTGAGAGATGAATTCAAAGCCTCTTAGGGAGTTCATATTCTAGAACTCTTTGATCAGAAATTCTTAGAAGGGAGGGAGCTTGTGTTCAGCACTCTATAGCAGTTCTTAAACAGTAGCACGCCTAATAACAGGACTTTAGAAAACATTTTTGAGCCTCAAAACCGGGTATTAGGATTCAGTGAGTAAGGGGTGGAGGATAATTCGAATTTCTGGTAAGCACACATGATGCTGATGCGGTGGTCATCATCCCAGCAGCACAGTTCTATATCCAGTTCATAACTGTATGTATTTTCTTGATAGTGTTAGAAAATCAATTGCTGAAAAGTCACACCTGGTTCTACAATATTTACCCTTTCCTTAACTGTAGTCTAGGTTTTGGTTCAATAGTTTAAATAATTAAAAAAAAATAAGTTTCTAGAATTGTGCTGTCCAATACAATCGTCACTAACCACATGTGGCTAAACTTAAATTCAGTTCCTCAGTTGTATTTGATACGTTTGATACCTGGAATGCAGTGGCTATTCACAGGTGTGATCATAATGCACTACAACCTGGAACTCCTGGGGTCAAGCGATCCTCTCACCTGAGCCTCCCAAGTAGTTGGGACTACAGGTTAGAGACACTGCACCAGTGCGTCTGGCAGTATTAGACACATCTTTTTTTTGAAACAGTCTTGCTCTGTTGCCCAGGCTGGAGTGCAGTGGCTCGATCTCGACTCACTGCAACCTCTGCCTCCCGGGTTCATGCGATTCTCCTGCCTTAGCCTCCCGAGTAGCAGGGACTACAGGCGTGTGCGACGACGCCCATCTAATTTTTCTATTTTTAGTAGAGACAGGTTTTCACCATGTTGGCCAGGATGGTCTCAGTCTCTTGTCCTTGTGATCCACGTGCCTCGGCCTCCAAAAGTGCTGGGATTACAGTCGTGAGCCACCGCATCCGGCCAGTATTAGACACATTTTAAGTGCTCAATAGCCACGTGTGGTTAGTGTCCTTATTGTATGGCACAGAGAGCATTTCCATAATTACAGAAGCTTCTATTTGACAGCACTATTCTGAAGAAATAATTCTAAGGTACATTGTTCTCTCTAGATGCAAAAGAAAAGCCTATATAGGCTTTATTCAATCATTAATAAAAATGTATTCACTAATGAAAATAGCTGGATAGCTAAGTATCTATCATTGGAAAATTGTTAATTATAGCATACCCACGTCAAAGATAATTGAAGTTAAGAATGGTTGAAAAACCAATATACTTAAAACAACAGTGGCTATGCCAAAACATGAGATATAATTTTAGTAAATGAAAAAACAAGTTGTAAACTCATTACAACTGTAAAATGTATGTGGATAAACATTGGAGAAGTCACAGTTCCTGCTATTTGAGCAGACACAGAGAAATCTAGACTAAAAAGATATAGGGACTTGGAAGATGGAAAAGCAAGTGAAAATGGAATAAGCAGCACGGGGAAAACTGGGCATTTCTTCAGTGCGGGATTAGCTACAACAATCGCTTTATGGACAGAAAAGGTAAGCAAACATGACTAACGACTTGTCAAATCTGGGGGCGTCTCATTTAAACCTTCCCATACTCCACTGTTCTGTGTTGGACACTATTAACCTCCTTACTCTTGACATTAACTAGGTTTCCGTAAAACTGTTTCTGTGGCTCCATTTACCTCTCCAAACTCTGATCATTATCTGATCCTCAAGTCTAGGTGTTAAACCTCTTGCTGTCCTTCCTCTTTTCACTTTGTAGCAAATGGTTTCCTTTCCTTCTCAATTTGCTTTTACTTTTCTCTTATGCTCAGGCCTTCCTCCTTTCTTTCCCAGGAGCATTCAATTCCTGCTCTCAAGTCATAGGTTCTTTCATCAAGTAAAATTTGGGGCCTGGAATCCAAATGACCATATCATATGCAGGTAGATTTTTTTTTTTTTTTTTTTTAAAAGACAGGGTCTCGCTGTCACCCCAGGCTGGAGTGCAGTGGCACAATCAGTTCACTCCAGCCTCGGACTCCTGGGCTCAAGCAATCCTTCCACCTTAGCTTATGGAGTAGCTGGGATCATAGGCACCCGCCACCATATCTGGCTAATTTTTCTCTTTTTAATTTTTATGTAGAGATGGGGTTTTGCTTTGTTGCCCAGGCTAATGTCAAACTTCTGGCTTCAAGCAGTCTTCCTACTTCGACCTTCCAAAGTGCTGGGTTTACAGATGTGAGCCAACATGCCTAGCCAGATCTTTTGAAATGGTTTGTTTCTTTCATCATGGAAACTTTTGAGACTGATTTTTCAGTCAAACACACCATTGAAATGGATGCTTTTACCTTTCTATTGGCAATCATTCTGTTTAAGCAAAGAATGGTATTACTAAATTAGGAGAATTATTTCATTCAGGGTATATCATTGTTCTTAATGCAAGTTGGTTCTTTGAGCAGTTATCTGAAAGGGAAACAGGAACCCTGCAAGAGATCATTTTAGTAGTACCTTGTTTTTCATATAGTGGAAACAATGTTATCTGTTCTTCACTGGAGATTTAACAAAGCATATGATAATTTTTTCTCTTGACATGGAAATTCAATTCAAAACACAAGATTTTAGCATCACGGCCATAGCCTGGAAAAAGTATTTTGGCTTAACCAGTGAATAAAATTCAGTAACAAAAGACAAAGAATGAAGGCAGGCTCTAAGATTCTAATGTTGAAGAGGACAAGAACTAGCTTTGACTAGTCTATCTATTCCTATAGCGTTGGCCTTCTCAGGTTACAGGATCTAGCTGATCTTATTGGCTGCAAAGGCCTGCTGCCCAGAAGGCTTTTAGTAATTGTTTACTGAATGAGGTAATGGTTTTGTCCAAGGAGAGTCATGATAATCATAGCATAAAACCTGAAGTTATTACAGTAATTGTCAATTACTCATCTTCATAGGCTAATTGTCAACTCTCTTCAACCAAATTTTTCTCCATTTTAAATATTTTAAAACTCATGAATCTTTGAGAGTCGGAGTTTTGGGCTGGGCATGGTTGCTTAGACCTGTAATCTCAGCACTTTGGGAGGCAGAGGTGGGAGGATCACTTGAGTACAGGAGTTTGAGACCAGCCTGGGCAACATAATGAGACCCTGTCTCTACAACAAACTGAGAAATTAGCCAGGCACGGTGGTGCATGCTTGTAGTCCCAACTACTCAGGTGGCTGAGGTGGATCACTTGAGCCCAGGAGGTCAAGGCTGTAGTGAGCTGTGATCGTGCCACTGCACTCCAGCCTGCATGACAGAGCGAGAGACCCTGTCTGAAAAAAAAAAAGAGAATCCTGAAGCCCTTTGAGAGTCAGATTTTTAAAGCTGAAAAAGAATGAAACTGTCTGCCACTCCCTGATTAACTATGAAACAGTTCTGCATTTCTGCAAATAGTAGAAGTTATTTTTAGGACTGAAATAATGACCTCACTTTCCCAGGCATGTAGGTTCAGCTGTTTTGATTGTGGGAAGGACAGGAATGTCCAAAACTCATACATGGACTCATGGTGAATCTCTGCAGAAATATCTTTCAATAGGCATTGTTGTGGTAAAGAAGAACTACATATAATAAAAAACCCCTGCATTGTATTTCCAGCACTTTAAAACATAACATTAAAAAATCTCTCTTTGGTAGCATTCCACAGAACCTTTAAGCCAAAATGGTTTTTAAAAATACGAAAAATTGAAATTACATTCAGTGACCTGGTCTAATTTTAAATAATCAGAAATTACAAAAATTTAAATAAAGCAGAAATGTTGGCAGGTATGTCAACCTAAGAACTTAAAGCTACGGAAACTATCATATGTATGCCAATTCTACAGGAAATTATTTTAAGAATTGGAAGACAAAGTGCAGAAAACCTGATTAGGGCAGTTAAAATTGGATATCCTTGGGAGGAGGAAGAGGAATGGATAGTAGAAGAGATAGGATTGTTAGGAAAATTGGAGGAAGAGAAAGCTAACCACCATATCATTTTCTAGGATTTTCCTCATCTACCTTTCTTTGGAAGATACAACTAAAACCAACAAAGGCCCAGTTTGGTAAATAAGAAGTTTAAACAAGTAAGTGTTTTATCATAAAGTTTAATTATGATTCAGAAAAAATCGAGCAAATAACTTTCTCTGAAAAAAATATATTGACTCTGTATAGACCACAGTTATTGGGGGAAAGGGCTGGTAGGTTAAATTACCCTATTTTCTATTCTGAAAATGATATCAATAGAAAGTCCCTTTTCCAGTCTGAGTATAAAGATACATATGCCCAAAATGGCTGAGAATAAATACAACAGGAAATGCAGAAGCTGTAAAGCTAAGGGCATGCAAGAGAAAATCTCAAAAATACCCAAAGTGGCAACAAGGAACGTTTGGCTGGAATTTGAAATTCTTTCAGTCATCTTTGTCTTTTGCTCCGTGTTTCAGGATGCGCGTGAACTCGATGTAATTGAAATTCCCCTTTTTGTCAATAGGTGCTTCTCTGTACAGCTCATCCACTTCCTCATCCGTAAACCGATCCCCCATGGTTGTCAGCAGCTCTCTCAGGTAATCTTCCTGAATGGTGCCTGGAGAATAAAGAACAAGGGATCAGAATATATACTACTCTGAGGGTCAATTACAAAGAATATCTATACTCGACTAAGCATGTTCTGTATGTTAAAAACTATAAACATTCAAATATGTGAACTCCAGGGTGTCCACCTACTTAAAACAGCCTCAGCAGGGAAGTGCCTAGAAAAATGCCCAGATGCTTAGCAGCGTCGTTCTGCTCTGTCATTCTGCCTCCACATTCAGCTTCTGATCTCTTGATAATAGACTAAACCTATGCCTAAACAAAGTAATAAAAAGTATGGTTAAAGAATCTAAGCCTTATGGTTCCTTAAAGTGGCATGAATGGTCATGTGTTATTCTACAAGCAAATAACATTGACCTGCCACGCTAAAATCAACACTACATCATACACATCAATAAAGTGGTACAGTGGAAAGAATACTGGAAACTTGAGGCCCAGTTTTAACAAGCTATTTTATTTCAGGCATTTCACTTTATCCCTGACCTTTGGTTTTCTCAGATGTAAAATGAGATTTTTACTGTTTACAAATCCAATTATTGTAACAAATATGGCCAGTCCCAGCACATGCAAAAACATGGAATAAATACTTGAGCACTAACTATGTGGCAGGCACTGTGCTAGGCAGTGGGGGTGTGCAGTGGTAAAATGAAAGGTGTGCTCTTTGGGAATTTGATACCAGGGTTCTCATAAAACCTGCCTGCCTACAAGAATCAGATGTCACCTAAGATTTTCTGGTATTGGTATTTTTAAGATTTCCCAAATAACTGGCATGGACATGTGGGGAGCCTTGAAAGCCACAGACCATGCTTCCATCAGCAGGCCCTGGCAACCACCCAGTATTTAAACTAGTCCCACTAATGCAGGCAACCCAAGATTGTGCCTTCCTTCACTAAACACACTTGGCTACGCCATGTTGAGTTAGGTGTCATGGAAAATATTCCCTCATTATGTTTTCTCTTACACTTCCGCCAAAGGATCAGGCCCCTATATAGTTAACATTTTGTTTTTTTGAGAGTTAACTCTATGCCACACAGTATGCTAAGTACTTCATGTACATCTCACTTCATTTACTTCTCACAACCACCCTGTGAAGTAGGTAATACTGCCCATTTTACAAATAAGAAAACAGAGGCTTAGAGAAAGTCAAGCAACTTGCCCCAAATTACACAGCTATTATGTAGAAGAGGAATATGAAGCCAGATAGTCTAATTCCAGACCCTTAGTTCTACTGGGTGTATTTTAAAATAGAGGTTAAATGTCAGATTTAAACAATTTGAGAGCTGACAGATACCTGGTAAACACACACAGGATTGTAGTGGTGCCACAGCCTATAACAATTTATACTTCATCAAGATTATTCTGTTAAAAGTTTTTTATTCAATACATATTTTCTGATAGCCTAACCCTTGTGGCATTAACATGCTACGAAAGGGGTAATACAAGTTTCCCGAAGAGGTTTCAAATACAACCTATTCATTGTAAACTACTACTTAAGGCAGCAGAACGTGAGTGACAAACATGCCAAGAGAACTCTGTTTAAAAACACAGGTGTAGTACAAACCTGACGGTGTTATCATATTTTAAGTCACTGTATATTTTAGTTACCATAACTAAAAATTAAATCACTTTGTAATTAAAGGTTACCTCTCACTTACCAGTTGCTTCTTCATCAAAGCAAGCAAAAGCATTTCTGATGACATCTTCAGGATCTGTGCCATTTAACTTCTCACCAAACATGGTAAGGAACATGGTGAAATTGATGGGGCCTGGAGCCTCATTCATCATGGCATCCAGATACTCATCAGTTGGATTCTTCCCTAAATTTTTAAAAGGGGTCATAATTTTAATTACATTATAATACATATCAACTATTAATGACAGTAAACATTTTGGTAAGAAAGATTATCATTCATACAGTTTACTGTTTGCACTCATGACAGCAAAACTACTTGGGGGGGAAAGTTTTCTTAATGAATAGGGCCTATTAAAGAGTCTGGAGAGTATATGATATTCCATTGGAATGTCAGAAGGAATAATACTGCTTCCATAATCTAGATTAGTGTTTTCATACACACACACACGAACCCCAACCCAATCCTAAGACAGGGTCAGGAATCTGCTGGTGGTCCGGTGGGAAACACTGTTCCACACTTTACTCAAACCATTAGACAGGCTTTACAGAGCTTTAAGACTCATGAAATCAACAAGAAAGGCACCGTGGAAATTCTATCCAATAGATTAATATTTAAACTGAGCATTACCCAATGAAGCAAGCATATCATGCAAATCTTCCTTGTCGATGAAGCCATCTCTGTTCTGATCAATCATGTTGAAGGCCTCTTTGAACTCCTGAATCTGTGACTGGTCAAACATGGCAAACACATTGGATGTTGCGCGCTGAGGGCGCTTCTTGGTCTTGGTCTTTGCTCTTTTGCTTGACATGGTGGTGGTTAAGTCCTAATTAGGAAAGGAAATACAATAAAAACTAAATCAACATCTAAGATTACTTAAGTTTGAATCAAAACAATGATTAACAAAAGTACACAGAATCAGCCTTCCTGATATGTTTGAGCTACTCAGAAATGTGTCTTTAGAAGACACATTGTCAACAAGATTACATATGACCCGTACTGCTATATAGCTAACAACAGCTAATAACCAAATCTGCTGATTTGATAACAATAAAAAACCAAGCAGCAAAAAAAATTAGTTACCTAGGAAACTTGCAAGTTCTATACTTCAGCACTATGGGGGTGCTGAGGGATACTAATTCATCTTCAGTAGGTCCACCCTTTGCAGCCTTAGCCTAAATTGGCTATTCCATAGTACGGTGGACAGAAAGGTGAGGAACAGTAAGAACGACTAACTGATGGAACAGGTCTTCATCTCCTAATCTCTACTGACAAATATTGTTCTTCCACTTTCAACTAACATTTTTTATTGTACCCTCACCTCTAGGCAAAAGTAGTTCAAGAAAACTATTTGTTGAAAGGCTAACAGTAAAGGATAAAAAAACTGAAGGGAATTCATCTACAGCTTTTATAGACATTACACTCTATCCAAACCAGTTTCTTGTATTACAGTCACACTAAATCACTGGAAGTATCTAAGACCTCTAAACAGAAATCAGAGTATAAGCTTTTAAAATAATTTAAATGTTTTAGAAAATATCTTAAAGGTAGAAACTACTTTTGCTCTCTTATCTAAATTTATCCCAGTAAAATTTAAGTTAAAATTAAAAAGAATGTCTAGTAATACCTAAAATAAAAAGGCAACTTTCCTTTCAATACTCAATCTTTTTTAAAAACTACAAAAATTTGTTTGAAGTTCCATAGTCATCAGACAATAAAATTCTACCATACCATCCTTCAGAGTTGCAGTGAAGATGGTAGTCTGCAAAACCGCTCAGCAGCAAAAGTAAGACACTGCATTGAGTTATATTCTTCCAAGCAGATCTAAAATAGGCACTACTGATTTCACTCTGACCAGGATAACAATTTTAAAGCTTACGTTCTGAAAACATTTAGCTATGATCTGGCAAAACACTATGCCACTGCTCTAAAAATAAGTCTGTGGACTGCAAAGAATGAACTACCACCTAGATCTCAGCACTCCACAGTGACCCTAAGAATATGTTTCCGATGTGTTTAAAAAGTAATTTCTTACATTATTTCCTTGATTATAACCACATCGTCCAGACTAAATACAATTACGGAATGATCAGAAAAGCTCTGCCTCAAATTTTTAAAAGCTAAATCTGTTTTCAGATTTTAATAGGAAATTCCACAAAGGATAGTCACAAATTCCAGCCCATCCAATATAGCACCATATGGCAACTGGAATATATTGTTGAAAAGATATATCCTATACAGCACAGAAGTTATGATATATGCTGCTCCCAAATTTCCTAGAATTCTTTAACTTTTAGGATGCTGCCTTTCATGACTCAAACCATTCATAAATGCATATTTTCATTCTATAACACCTTTGGCGGTAGTAAATCCCATTCATATCTAAACTACATGGGGTTGTACTTTCCTCTTTGTTATAAGTGCTGTCTTTAAAAACAACAAAGAGTTATAGAGTATATTATTCCTCCATCTCTTAAATGTACTCAAGGACTTGCAGCAAGAGGTTGAGACCCAATGTGTGACACGTTTACCAGTCCATATCACTTTCATATTTTAGGCATGTCACGCCTTTGCAAGCCAAAGCACATCTTTAAAAATAGTCCGTTTTGTGTGACAACATTGTCTTTCCCTAATGATGCAGAAATGTCAGCTATTTTAAGAACAAAGAACTGATGAGGTCAAACGGCTGCCACAACTGATTTTTTAATCTATTATATAAAATCTCATATTACTAAATTTATGGGGGTCCTCTAGATACCTTTTCAAAATGTTTGGGTTTGGTTGTAAAGTAGTATGTTTTCTGAATTCTGATGTATTTCCTATTCTTTTAATCATGCACTTTTTTGAATTTGTAAATGTATTATAAAATAGATTTTTAAAGTAAAAAAGTTTTTTTTTTTGTCAGCACTGACAGTGGCTTCATATAGAGCTCTTCTTCAGCATATTCAAGACTTAATCTTATCAATCTTATTATGAACAGTTAATTACACTAATATGTATCAAATGTCATATTAATTACATTGAATACTACTTAAGAGTTAAGAAATGTAAGGCATGTGTCTTATCTTCAAGGAGCTTAAAATACAGTTGGGGAGGCAACTATAAAGAAATGAGATGATTGGTTCAACTTATGAAATGAGTCATAGTTTTCATTCCAGAAGTATGACTCTAAACTTAAAACAATGTGTGACAATAATGAAAAATAATTTGTAGGATGGTACATAATAATTAAATGTTGTGAGTTCAGAAAAGATGTTTCTGAGTAGTTAAGTGATTGGGGAGGAGGAAGACCTTGAAAAACCCAGTGTGGGATCATTTAGAAGCTACAAGGCATAGTTAGAATTAAGAATTTGGGTGTTAGTCTCAATTCTAACAAATTAAGGTAGTTAATTCTACCAAAAACTGAAAGTGTAATGTTGAGCAAGTTACTACCTAGGCCTTTACTTTTTCGAGGAGGCTGGATTCTGATCTCTGAGTTATTTTCCACCAGAAACCTTTCAGCGATAGGGAGTTTGGCTTCAGTCACTGTTCCAAAATACAGAAACTGTGGGGTTTTTTCCTACCAAACTAAAAGTGTGAGGGGAATAAACAATGGTGGAGGGAGTCAAATCAGGAACAGTGCTATGATCTCAAGGAGCAGATCATTTCTGATATTGTCAGGGTCCTCTTTGCTGTTATTCTAGTTTGCTGTTCATTTTACTTTCCCGCAAACAATGGAGACCATCACTCTTCATGTAATAAGCCTTCAGCAAATGCACAACTCTCATCTAAGTTTAGAAAACTAGGGTATACTCCTTAATCTAAAAAAGTTGAAATTGCTTTTTGCAAAAAGCAAGCTAGGGTAAAATAAATGGAAAAGATTTCATGTCAGTGTAGTTATTTAGGATGCAAAGATCACCAGGTAAGGACCCGAGGTTTCCAAGTTACGAAAGCTCTTCAATCATGAAGTCGAGTCTTTATTTATTTATATTTGTTTATTTATTTATTTTTGAGATGGAGTCTCGCTCTGTCGCCCAGGCTGGAGTGCAGTGGCGCATCTCAACCTCTACCTCCAGGGTTCAAGCAATTCTCTGCCTCAGCCTCCGGAGTAGCTGGGATTACAGATGCCCCCCACCACGCCTGGCTAATTTTTATATTTTTGTTAGAGACGGGGTTTCACCCACCTTGGCCAGGCTGGTCTTGAACTCCTGACCTCATGATCCACCCGCCTCAGTCACCCTAAGTGCTGGGATTTCAGGCGTGAGCCACCGCACCAGGCCTGAGTCTTTATTTTTGAAGGATTAAATGAAAGATCTTTGGTGTGAAGGAGTATATGTTGTATGAAACTGTAAAGCAAGGAGACTTAAGAACAGGCTTCTACAAAATATAAGAGGATTTCAGAAGCATGAGAAACTGGATGAAGGGCAGTCAGGAGACTGAGTTTACAGATTAATCTAAAGGAGCATAACCTTTTTTTAAGTCAGGGGAGGTGAACGCTGGTGGCAATGAATCTGTTTTTTATTTTGTGTTTTAACTCAGAATCATTATGGGCTATATAACGAGATACACAACACAATTAAAGAAAATGTTAGACTAGATTAATAGGTGGCAGAAATAGAACAGATTCTCAAAGTGACACCAAAGGACACGAGAAGATTTTTCAGATCTCTAGAAACTATATTCACTTATAAAATGGGATTAATCCATACCAATGTATACATTAGAGTGCTCTGGTTAGAACCCTAGAGTCCAGCATTTACAAACTGGCAATAAATGTAAAATAACCTAGAAACTTTTTCTACAAAACGAACACTCAGATTGATAATATTCTGAGAAATATCAGATATTCTTGAAGAAAAAACTACCATCTTACAAAACACTGCGTAGTGTGATAGCACCTATCATTTGGTCGGCTTTTTAAACCCTGAACAAATACACCGCCTCATTTAATCAATGCACTTACAAAAAATAAGTGTAATTTATTTTCTGGTGCTAACTGCAATGTTTAAAAAGTGTATTTTCAAGTTAGTGCTTCCGTTCCAAGTAAACCAAGTTTTCATTTCTTGTGCAAACTTCCGGTTGAAGGTAGGATTCGTTCTCTCGGACTGCCACACCCAAAAGTTCTCACTACTGGACAGACAATTGGCTGTTAGGGTTGACTTGCCAGTAAAGCCTCGCTTTTGAAAATAAAGTGCTTTTCTGATGACCGTTTATCAGAGCCCTTCCAGAACATGAAACAAATACCAATAATTTTAAGAAATATTCGCTTTATTCGCCTTTAGATATAAAACTTTTTGCACTTAAGTTAAAATCTCTGCTAAATCCATAGGTCTCTCAAGAAATTGATAGATACATTCATATACCTACTAAACTACTTTAAAAGAAAACACTTCCATGGAGAATTGAATTAGCCCAAACTTTCCCCCCACATGGGACAAGGCATTATATTTTGGAGTTTTTCCTCGAGCCACAAACTAAACTCCAGATCTCTTTGTCCAAAATTTCATCGCTTAAAGAAAAAAAGTTCTAATTACAGAAGCGGGTACTGAGTTGAAGAACTTCCCAATTTGAGTTGGTTATTCCTACTAAATGTAGCCACACAGCTGCAACAGCTGCAGCGGGGGGACAATGGGCTACGTTTTTTGCGCAAACCCTCTTGAATCGGGCAAGTTGACGTTAGAAACAAAAATAGTCCCGGGATCAGCTCTGCAGGGGTCGGGTTTCGCGGGCCCGGCAGTCGCCCAAGATCAAGGCGCCAGTGAGCGAAGCCGCATTTCCCGGGCTCCAAGTTTGGGCACAGGAGCGAAGTTCGGTCTGGGCCACTCCCAGCCATGGCCTCGGATCCCACAACCGGGGACCTGGGTGGCACACCTGCCCAGGTGCGCTCCCGGCGCCAGGAGCCCCGCCGCCCTCCAGCTGCCCCGCGGAGACGGGGCCCCGGGATGGGTGTCCCGCGCCCGAACGCGAGTGCCACTCACCCGGCACAGCTACGAGAATCCGAGTACCTCTGCGAGCCCCTCGCTGCCGCTACTACACCACCCTACTACCCAGAGAGCCGCTAAAAACCACCGCTTGCGGCCTCCGCTTAGCAAGCCGGAAGGAAGCCCGGTCACCTTTCTTGGCCCGCAGAGTGGGCCAGACTTCTCGGAGGCGCGACATGGAGGGAAGTCGCCAGTGTGGTCAGCGAGCGCGGTATTGACCAAGTGCACGAGAAGGAAGTGTAAAGTGGGCGACCTAGAGTATAGAGCAATATATAATGGTTCGCTGGGTCCTGTTAACTGAGTTTCCGTCTTTTTTGTACCTCTTGTTGCAGTGTTAAGTCTTCCTCCCCCCTATCTTTTCCGCAGATGGTTGCGTCCGTCCTGTGGCTTTGCCTGGTCGCACATTCCAGGGCTCGGCGAAGGGCGGGGCCCGTCGGCCCAAGTCCTTGTAGGGAAATGGAGGAGACGGCAGCGGACACACGTGACTGGCCCTCGCCCCGCCCCGAGGCCGGGCTCCAGCCTCCGCGGTAGTGTGCCTGCACTTGACGCCCCTCACAGGGTCTGGGTCTCCGCCTGAGGGCCTCGGAGCTGTGTGTGTAGCCCGGGAGTGGACCTTGATGCTAGCTCTGTGTGCAGTGTAATTTTATGAAGAGTCCCGCCTCCTCCATACAGGAGGAAACGTGTGTCCCTGGGGCCCTCAGCCAAGCGCCCACTATCTTTTTGGCCCAGACGGATTTCATAAGGTCACAAGTGGCTGGATACTTCCTCCCTCTTGAAAAACATTTGCCGTCGTTTTTCCCTGGCAGAGCCCCTTTGACCCTGGCGAACAAACCCCCCGCACCTCTTGCTACGATTAGGACTTGCGGCTTGGTGAAAACAGAAATCAAAACTTGGGCCTATTTCTCCTGAGTTCTCCTTGCCTAGAACAATTCATAACAATGACTCTTATTAAAGTCCGGGAGGACTTGCTCTTTTTCCGCCCAGAATCCGATAAGGAAGACTTGTTCTGGCTCCCTCAGCTCTCTGACCTCATCTACCAGAGGAGTGAGTGGGATCCTCTAACACTCGAGCCGTCATCCCAGCACTAGGGGACAGTGACCAGTGTGGCTCCCGTGGCCAGAACCCTTCTGAAGCTTGGGTTGCCCTGTGGTCTTCGCCTTCAAAGCAGGCCGTCACTCGAATCCTTCTGGAACGGACAGTGTTAACTGTCTGTAAACGCTGCGGAATAGTATCTTCTAAGTATTCGTAGCTTCTTTCTTGAGGGATCTCGGGAACATTCCGTGTATTAACCACTAGCATATTCCAAAGTTAACTTCGTGATAAAGTCACCGGGGAAAAAAATAATCGCTCCAGTTCCACGGGTGATTGAAACAAACGTGATTTGTTTCCCAGACTTCCTTGATGGTAAGAATTACTTGGGGTACCAATTAAAAATAAAAATAATTGCGTCATTTCCAACGCACTAAATCAGAGTCTTTAAGGGCAGGTCCTGGGAAGCCATCCACGTAACGGGGGTCCCAAGTGGGCTCTTACCAGCGAGGGCGGGGACTCAGCGAGAGCGCTGGCAGCGACGGGGCAAACCCCAGACAACTGCGCGGCTGCGTTTGTTCCTGGAGCTTGCGAGCACTTGCAGTGCATGACACCTCCACAGGGTGGTGGCCTGCCACCGCGAGAGCACCAGCTCCGCCAACGTCCTCTCCTGAGGACACTTTAGAGCAGAAGGAAACGGACAATTCAGTCTTCCCCTCAGCTTGAAGGCAGCATTCTTTTGCTTCTCTCTTTTTTTTTAATTTATTTTTTATTTTTTTTATTTTTATTTTATTTTATTTTATTATTATACTTTAAGTTCTAGGGTACATGTGCATAACGTGCAGGTTTGTTACATATGTATACTTGTGCCATGTTGGTGTGCTGCACCCATCAACTCGTCAGCACCCATCAACTCGTCATTTACATCAGGTATAACTCCCAATGCAATCCCTCCCCCCTCCCCCCTCCCCATGATAGGCCCCGGTGTGTGATGTTCCCCTTCCCGAGTCCAAGTGATCTCATTGTTCAGTTCCCACCTATTTGAGTCAGGTAATTGCCTTGTCTTCCTTCCACTCAGTCAGCAGGTATTAAGCGGCAACCGCATTGCCCAGCACTGTGGTGGGGGCTGTGCTTATGTTTTCTGGAACAGAACATAGTTGTTGCTACCTTGGGGATGGGGGCGGGGGGGAATAGAAAGAATGCGGAGTTAGCGGGGTATCAGGGAACAAGGGTGGAACAGATATAATAATTAGGGTACAGTTAGGGCCTATTGAAGGAGCACAAACGAAGAATAAACTTGTCTGGGAACTAGTGGAAGGTGTCCCCCAGGGGATGTTAAAGAGCTGATTCTAGAATTAATTCAGTGGGGAAAGAAAAGGAGAGATGCCAGGCAGGGGGAGCAGCACGCCTGATTGTCTGGAGGTGATCAGAGGGCCTGGCTGATTGAAGATGAACAGGAATTGTGTAGTCTGTGTTCATTCATTTATTCATTCCACAACTATGGGTTTAAAAATGGTTAGTCAACCAATGTGGAAAAATAACATCTCGTTAAAATGTTCTTCAAATGTCCACCTAGTGTTTTGATGTTCAGTTTTGATGAGTGGACCCACCATCAAAGGCCTCTGAATCTTTCTGATATATCTACCCTTTTGGACCCTATGGGAGATCTTTACCTCCGCGTGATAATCTCCTTCTCACGTTTTTACTAAAAGTTTGGAGACTTGAATTCTGCTCCAAATAGAGTGAAACAGGGTCTTGCTCTATTGCCCAGGCTGGAGTGCCGTGGCTTGATCACAGCTTGCTGCATCCTCCATCTCCCAGGCTCAAGCCATCCTCCCTCAATCTTTTGACCAATACTCAGAGTAAGAAATTTATTTCACTAAGAAATACTTGACTACCTATAATGTTTTTCAAAATTTTCTATTCTGTTCTTTTCAATTCTGTTACTAGTCTGCTTTAGCTGCCATACAAAATACTATACATTGGGTGGCTTAAACAACAGAAATTTATTTCTCATACTTCTGCAGGCCGGAAAGTCCAAGATCAAAGTGCTGGCCAATTCGATTGAAGGCCCTCATCCTGACTTGCAGATAGTCAGTCGCCTTCTTCTTGTGTTCTAATGTGGCAGAGAGATCTCGCTCTCTTCCTCTTCTTTTTTTTTTTTTACTTTTCTAAATTCTTTTTTTTTTTGTATATTTTTTTTTTTTTTACTTTTATTTACTTATTTTTTTGAGGTGGAGTCTCACTCTGTTGCGCAGGCTGGAGTGCAGTGGCACGATCTCGGCCCACTGCAACCTCTGCCTCCTAGGTTCGAGTAATTCTTGTGCCTCAGTCTCCCGAGTAGCTGGGATTATAGGCATGTGCCACCACGCCTGGCTAATTTTTTTTTTTTTTTTTTGGTATTTTAGTAGAGACAGGGTTTCACCATGTTGGCCAGGCTGGTTGCCAACTCCTGACCTCAGGTAATCTACCTGCCTCAGCTTCCCAAAGTGCTGGGATTACAGGCATGAGACACCACACCTGGCCTTTCTTTTTTTTTTTTTTTTTTTGTACTTTTGGTAGAGACAGTGTTTTACCATGTTGGCCAGGCTGGTCTCGAACTCCTGACCTCAAGTGATCTACCCGCCTGTGCCTCCCAAATGGCTGGGATCTCTTCCTCTTCTTATGAGGCTTCAGTGTTAATGGAATTAGGGCCAACCGTTACAACCTCATTTAACCTTAATTATATTTTAATTATATTTCCAGATATAGTCACATTGGGGTTTAGGCCTTCAACATATGAATTTGGCAGGGAGGGGACACACAATTCAGTCTATAGCAAATTCTATGTCATTTAATTTTAAAAAGACCTCTCAAGGCCCACTAAATGTGAGCTTATGATCCACTATTGCAGTGGCTCTCAATGGTGGAGGAGTGGTGCTTGGGTTTTGCCCTGAAGGAACATTTGGCGATGTCTGGACAGTCTTGCTTTTCACCATCGGGACAGCTACTGCAGCTAGTGGGGGGCAGCCAGGGATGCTGCTGAACGTCCTACTATGCACAGGACAGCCCTCGACAACAGAGCATTATTCAGCCCAAAATGTCAGTAGTGCTTAGGTTGAGAAAACCCAGCACTAATCATTTGGAAACTCAATATTTATAGTAATCAATTATTCTGGGAGTACTAGAATTTCTACAAGGACACTATCCATTGCTCCTGCCTCAGAGTAAGCTGTCGTTGTTTTTTTTCCCCAAGTCAGATCTAAAGGAAGAAAAATATGGAATGAACAGTTATTATTATATGTGCCTATTATGTGCTAGGTATTCTGTCTAAACATTTCTAGTATTTAATTCTTACAGCAACCCTGTGAGATAGATATTATTCCTCCATATCATTGATTGGGACACAAGCTCAAATACTTGAATGATCTGTACAGGTTTCCCAAAAGGCAATGAAAGAACCTGGATTATAACTCATGTCTCTGATTGTCCAGGGGTAGAATAGAAAGGAAAACAGTAAATATGTGGATATTTATACACATATCTCTAACTCCTAATACAATGCCAAATATCCACAGATGCCAGTAAATACTTGGTAACTGGTCAATTGTTCAAGTGCACATAGCTAGTAAGTGGCCCAACCCAAAGCCCATATTTTATTTTACTATACTGTGCTTTCTCCTTTGGTCCAAAGTAGGAAAATTTGTTACCCAAACAACAGCAAGGAAGCATAGCAGAATGGATCTTGGTATTTACAACCTAAGTCAATCATTTTATAGGCATCACTTGCAATTTTTATTGCATGTAAGAAACTATTGAATGTTAAGAGACATGGCTTACATTCTGGTTTTGCCTACATAAATGGAATTTTAATTCTTCATATATGAAATATGTATGATGTAACAATTAATACTAATCCATTAATTCAGGAAAACAGTAGGAGGAGCTCCTTTCTTTTAAATGAATAAGTATTTACGTAAATCTGTATAATAATTAATTTTAGAGCACCAAAACTACAAACAATATATTATAAAGATATGGAAGATTCTACATATATAAAGAACTGCTTTTTAAAAAACTTTAATCAAAATTATCATTAAAGTCAGGGATGATAAATGAGATAAAAAATTATGTGAAA